TTTAAAAGATCTGCAAGGACCTTCCCACCCACACAGGTCATTCACGTATTGTGCCTGATGAGACCCCCCCCCCCTCAGGTCTGGAAAAGCTAGGAGTACTTTGAGTTTAGAATAACAAAACTCTGCAAGATGCACATAATCTGTCTCTAAGGGACAATTAGTGAAAACCCCTATGTAGGATTCCTTGAGTAAATTATTATGTTATTTATTTGATTTAGCCAGCTTCAGCGAGGTGTCTTTTTGTTGTTGTTCTGGGGGATTTGATTATGTGGACTCGTCTGGCAGAGGTTCTGCAGTTTTCGAATGCTCTTCTAGTACCCTTCCAGTTATCTTTGGTGACTTCACTGTATAATGTCCACTTGACATTACATCAATTGTTTTACTGTGTCTCAGTTTGCTTACTCTTACATCTGTTTTTCTGAGTGCACCTATAGGTCAAAAAGTCGAGTGTTGAAAGCAGGACACTTCTCACACTCAGAGACGGCCATCTTGGCTACGTTAAAGGAGTTTCTCCGCTGAACACAGCACTCAAAGAATAAAAGTTATACAAAAGGGATTTTAACTATTACATATTCTAGTGTGGAAAAAAAACCATCTTGAATTTGTTCATGTTAATAGAGATGTCTGTAGTGATTTGGTACCGCAAACGATAACGTTGCTAGCTAGCTAGTTAGTTAACCGCAACAATCATCAATTCTGTTGAGGGCTCAGCAGTTGTGGGCGATTTGAGACAATGCTATACAGTTCAAATTCACACACTGTGCAGTTGTTCACAGTGTACAACATGACAATGTACTAAAGGAAGTAGTTGATTAAATAGTATTGATGAATGCTGTTGCAATCCATGGCTGGGACATTACATTACATTACATTACATTGCATTTAGCTGACGCTTTTATCCAAAGTGACTTACAATAAGTGCATTCGACCAGGAAGATACAAACTTGAAGAAAACAGAATCATATCAGTACATCAGGGATGCCTTTCAACTCTTATTGCTGCCCAAGGTGGAAGGGCATTATACTGATAATGTTTCAGGAAAAGAGAAATGTTGTCCTTTTACAATTCTAACTGCTGTCCAATCCATCCAACTGAGTAAATATATAATGGGGAGACAGTTTAAAAGAAAAATGTGACCTTGACCCAAACCTTCAGAAGCACTTTCAATGATAAATCAGGATCCGTGTTCAATTGAATTTCTGCTAGTAAAAAAGAAACTGTCACCTCCAAATGACACAGACAGTAAACAACATAGTGTGGAATTCTGGCATCAACTTTAACATTAATACCATGAAATGCCTTTGCAAAAATGCTACTTACTTTTAGCACATTTGCACAGACATCACTGCAGATACTTGCAATATGAAGAACTTTTGCACATGACATTCATTAAGCAGGAGTTGAAGGATTTGGTGCAGTTACTTTCTTACATTTCTTTCGAGTTACTGTTGGGAACATTTCTGAGAGTATCAATAAAATGTAGAATTTATGCTCAGTCCCAAACTCAAGAAAAGACTGTCGGAAGTTTTGTGGAAGTCTTCCAGCTTGATGCATAACTCATTGCAAATAATGATGCTCCTTTGACTTCCCGACGCAGCTTAATTCTTGTCATCTCGCTGCTCTACATTGTTATTAATCATGATCGCCGTTTCGTAATGAAACATCACTTTGCTAAGTCAACTGATTAAGTTAAACTGCACACGCTTGTCTTTCCAGTAATGGGTGCCTGAAGCCATTTACCATAGCACTTTAAGTTTGCCCTAATATGACAGCTGCTGCAGCACTGTTTGACTCTTGTGCTGCTCTTTTGAAAATGAGAGTGGAATTTTCAATAGAAATCAGATGCATTCATTTCCATAAATAATATCTGGAAATATGCTCATTTCAGGTTCATATTTGCATTTTGTGCTTTTTACTCTGGCATGTTTACATGTTTTAATGTTCAAAATGGTCCTCTTACCTGTGCTGCTGCACCTCTTTCACCCTCTGTCTGAAACCAGAACCCAGTCTTCTTTGATTGGTTAACTGGCCGGCTCTGTTGTGATTGGTATTTCCTAATGCTGTCCAGGCGCTTAGCCTGACATGTACAATGTTTTGGAGTGCTATCCAATAGAAGCATGGGTGTTATATCACTAAGTTATATGGAAGTAAACAAAGGACAACAAGGAGGTGTTTCAGGCAGGTGGGTGGGAGAGAAACTCCCTGTGGCGTGAACTTTGTTTAGCCTTTGGAGACCATTCACATGCACAAAAACCTATAACACTACAGTATACATTGAATCCTTTGTATAAAACACTACATTAGAGGGAAAGCCTCTTAAACAGAGATATCTGGTTCTTACAGGACAGTGACAAAACTACAAAATATAATGATATTATGAAACATAATGCATTGCTGTATATTAAACTTCCACACACATAAAGGAGTTACAATTAAAGTAGTAGTAAAATGCAATGTACACATTGATGCAGCTGTAATGATAATCCGTGAATCTCATAGTAAAAGATTGACGGGTAACATTTTAAATGGAAAATCAATGTTTTTTATTATGAATGCTTGACTTACCTGTAGTTGAGTGTTTTCAGAGAGTAGTGTTTGTATTTTCATATAAAGTAGTCATCTGAATACTAGTGTCCCTGTAGCCCTAACATTGTGTTATGCACCATTAGCTTTCAAGGAGAAAGGCAGTGTCTGCTGTGAATTTGAACAAAACTGAAAAAATGATAGAATATGTAAGTGGGTTTGACATTCAAACATGAGAAAGCTGTCCCTGGAGATGCAAATGCATGTTATGTTCGTTCGGAGACAGACGTTATTAAGATCCTAAGGAATAATATGATAATGTGTTTTTAAGCCTTAGCGGTAAATGTCATTGTATTTACTTATATATTATATTCATTGCATTCAGTCATGCCCCTCTAATGAAAAGTCAACACTTCGCCTTCAGCTACTTGATGCCTAACGCGGCGTAACATCGAGTCCCTGGCTGTATAATCGCACACAACGAGAGCTGCTGCTATATTTGTCCTTGTGAAAACATAAAGTGTGGGGTATGCAGACTTTAAACATACTTTATCCCCCCGAACAACAACATAATACCCCCTTTGTTTTCAGCACGACAACGCAAAACAAATGTCACTTTTTATTGTGTCCTTACCTTAGGTGACTGTAAAATAAAAACAAACAGTTTGTCTTCTAAAAACCCTTTCACCACCCTGCACTTCCCAGATAAGCGTACTCAGCTATTCATCCCTGTTATGTCTGTAGGTAGAAAAATGTCTTTTAATCCGAGCACACCAAAAACAACAAAGGATTAATAGATAAGAAGAAACGTTTGACAACTTCTTACAAAAGGATCAGACAACCGGAACATGTTTTGAAACTATTAATCAATGTCATGTTTCTTAATGCTGCCGTTCTCTCAACACTGGACCACACAATGTTTGTTTGTTTGGAATTGTGTGATATGGTGGGCTAGCTAATTAATATAATTACTTACTTTTCAATAAAGACGGCGTGGGTGGGCAGGCAAGAAGCTTTCATAAGGTATAATGCAGTCAAATCCTTGGCAATGAAAAATATATTTTCAATAGCTTTTTGAAAGTCTTTTCTATGTGGGTATTTGTCACTTTTATTGAAGGTTACATTTATACATCTTTGTACTGTAGCTTCTGCAGCAGTAATTTATTCAAAGCCAATTAGCGTTTTCATGATGTGAACTGAATACCAACAACCTCACAGCAATGTCGCTTCATTAAGATGCAACAAATGGACATTTATTTTAAGCCTTGGAAGCTAAAATGCCACCATTTAAAAAGTAAGATTCTGTAAGCGTCTACTTGTAATGATTTAAAACCCACCATCTGTGCAATGCTACAGACGTATTATTTTGACCTTTTTAAACTGTGTTTTTTATACTTCATTTTAAATCTATGAAATCATGCTCCAATATTATAATCTACAAAGGACAATTACAGATGCAGGCTATGTGAACAATTCAGCTATATAAATATATAGATATATATAAATGACAGCTGAAAAAACGTCATGCTTATATTTCTTTAAACAAATATTCAAATTGTTATTATTCACTATGGCTTTCTTTTTTTTTACTTAAAGTCCCTTTTATGCTTTTTGGGGTTTTCGCTTTCCTGTTGTGTGTTATATAGGTTTTTAGTGCATGTAAATGGTCTGCAAAGGCTAAAATCCCAAAGAGGGAGTTTCTCTGCCACACCCTGCCAGACACACCTCCATTTGACTCCTTATTTCTAGTAACACAGTGACATCACTATGTAACACTCATGATACTATTGGCTGGCACTCGAACACATTGACCATGATAGGCTAGGAGGCGGGACATCTCTAAGCAGTTGACCAATCAAAACAGACCCAGCCAGCTAACCAATCAGAGAAGACTGGCCTCTGGGTTCAGACAGAGGGGGAAATAAGATGCTAGTACAGTATGTCACAAAATACAAATATTAACCAGAAAATCAGCCTAATAAACATTTAAAGCTGATCATCTATTGTCTTTTATTGGCTAATTGACGTTTTAATGTTGCATTTATATTTTCCTACGCACCTTGAGCTACATCTCTTATAGTAGGTGCTCTACAAATAAACTGTATTTTTAATTATTAAACTGACTGTACACTACCGGCAAAACACCCCCCAAAAAGGAAAATTGAGCAGTTAAGGAGCCTGTTCATTCCCTCCAGGAATTGCTAGCAATTAAAACTAGACATAAAGTAAAGGTTGGGCGGACACGAGCACAACTCAAATGTGACTATTATGTTGCTCTGTGTCTCCTGGATGCCTGTAAGTAGATAATTGTTTGTTTACACGTTAGTCATGACAGCTAAATTGATAATAGTCAGGGCTGTCTGTCAGCTCAAATACAGATGTCAGTTAAAGAAATACAATATGTTTGCCTGAGTAAAACAAAACTGCACAGGCAGGAAACCAGTACTCAAAGATCCAGAGAAAACTATCTGACACCTCTTCATTTATTCAACAACACCACAAGCTAAGATGTCAAACATAAACAAGTTGATTCAACACACTTTGATACAACCTCAACAAAAACAGAACATTGAAAGCTTCAGAGGGGTACAATTGTGTTGCTTCTGCAAACTGTTATTCATACCACACTCAAAGATCTACTCTTGTTTCTCTTCAGTCCGACGATTCACATGTGACAGGAATTATTACATCGAATCCTGCAGGTGTTTTGTCCCTTTAGAAACACGAAGGACACATATATAATACACACAATCTTTCACTAGATTACACCTTTTAAGAGCTGTCAGTGAATGCCATGCCACCAGTGAGTATCTGGTCCTTAAGGACTTCTGTGCACTCTGAATAAATACCACTAAAGTTGAAAGAAATGTCTCTACAGTTATTGTACAATGGCAAGTGCAGAAATGATCCCTGCTAACTCAATAATTGTAATGTTTTTTTCCAAAAGTATCTTGCTGTAAGTCTTTCTCCAGTATTCTTGTTGGTTTGATCCGGTGTTGACACTTGAGAGCACTATGAGGGTAGAATGCTGTTGATGAATCTGTACAAAAAATGTTTTCATTCACTTTCTAAAATCATATTTCCTTTGACACATAAGATCTTAAGGCAACAGTTATCTTCTGCCAGTGCTTGAGGTATGTCACATTATGACCTAGTCCTGCCCTCTATGTCTCTGAGAAATTTGAATATACATGCAAAAGTTGTACAGAAGTTTTTCCGGAAGGCAAACCAAAGATTGGATTCCCAAAGATCCCGGCATTGCATCATTGGGCCAATCAAACAGCTTCTCCTGCCACACTAAGAGAAAGGCGTAAGACCTTGGCCGATCTGTGACTGCAGGGGTTCTGGGGCACCGGCGTTCGGCTCGCTGAGAAACACCACGCCTTCAGAAGACTCTTACTCTGGATTTGCGCGCTTTGATCCGGACCAGCGACTGATGACGAGGAGGTCGACAGCGCCCTGCAGCAGCCCCACGAGGAAGCATTGACGCGGTTTTGGCACGAGACATCAGAGTTGCGGGATGGGTGGTGTGGACTGGAGGAGTGGGGGCCGACGTGTCCTTGTGGTTTGACCGCAGGCGCCCCAGTTCGAAGGCAGCGACCACGGAGCACGTTTTGGAAAGCTTTCTTGAACTCCCGGCTGAAGCAGGGGTAGATGATGGGGTTAAGGCAGCTGTTCAGGTAGCCAAGCCAGAAGGTGATCTTAAAGATGGTTTCAGAAGGCTTACAGGACGGGAATATGGATCCTAGAGTAACCAAATAAAGAGACACAAATCAAATAAGGAAGCAAACACACTAATACACTGCTATTCTTCAAGATTAACCCTAACCCTAATAAGCATTTGGGCAGTCAATACCATTTAAGCTCAACAACTAGCACAGAATGCTAGTAAATTGTCAGTGATTCACTTCTTTCCAGACATATTTCTTATTCCCCTTGTACAAACAGGCTCCTAAGGGTTACTTTTTTTTCTAAATCTCACACTCAAGAACATTTACTATTGTTTTGTGCTGATAGGCAATTCATTTCCATCCATCCAACAGATGCCCTTAGACTGTCCCACCTTTGCCCATTGCCCTACCCATCTACACACCTGTTCCCACCTTCTAAATCAGCACTGCAGTTGCCATGGATCCCCCCCCCCCCCCCCCCCCCCCCCCCCCCCGCCTGCATGTCATTACCTCATCAGCCTCTCAGTACTATTAATTCCTGTCCAGTTCGTCCACATTTAAAGTGGACCTATCATGCTATATTTGAATAATATAGTGTAGGACCATACCTATATAAGGCATATTTATACTTTTTTCTTTTCAAAATACCAAACAGATCATGCATTTTAGCCATGCCTCATTTCGCTCAATTTGCACTTTTTTTTGGCTCTGTTCTGCAAGGGCAGATTCTGTGAGAACAGCACCATCTACTGGCCTGGCATATGTACTACAGCGTCTCCAGCGCTTTCGAACGGCAATGGCCGTGGCTGTCTCCTCCTGATTGGTGGAGTTGGCCCAATAGCCGTAGCGCCACCGTCCTGACGTCAGGACAGTGTTCAAATCTGGATCAGTTTTTATCAGATCCGTTGCAGCCCCTTTTTTAGAGATTTGGGTATGGAGGAAAATAGAGAGGGTTGTGTTTTCTGACACTTGGTGAGTTCCCTGGAACACCGGGGACACGTATTCATGTATAAAAGACGTACAAAAGTGCATTTTGCATGATAGGTCCCCTTTAATGTCTCTTTCTTGCCCTGTGTTTTTTCTTTGAAACTTCTTTAACCGGAACATGGAATCTGCACCTGCCTTCCTGAAAGTCTACATTTACCCTTTTCCTTTGGCATTACATCATAAAACACAGTATGGCGACTGAGGTGTACTTTTAGCCATATACTGTTTTTCATGATTTGGGTCCCTTGGTTCTAATTAAGAGAAATCCACATCGTTCAACAATCAATGATCTTTTAGCTTGGAGTGTTTCTAACTTTGTGGTAGGGCTGCTCGATTATGGCAAAAATCATAATCTCGATTATTTGGGTCAATAATTGATATCACGATTATTAAAAACGATTATCCATTTACTTTGAAAACATCCATTTATTGAATTTTTTTTATTGAACAGTATGTTTTTAACAGTTGATTACCGTGAACTTTAAGTATAATTCAACTGAAAAACCAATAATTATTATTTTTTTAAATAAAAAATCGTAATTGCGAATAAAATACGATTAATTGAGCAGCCCTACTTTGTGGCAGCAGTTTGTGTTTTGCATTTACCTGATTCAACATGACATTAGCCCAAAAATAGTAGTAGTTTTTTGTTTACCATTTTGTAGTTGGAAAAACTGAGCACATAATTCACATTTACAACAATAAGCTCAATACCTTCGGGTTAACTTGCTTGCATAATGCTTCACAGTGCCTATACTATATGGTGCCATTAGACAGCACATCACATTCTTTTCTGAATTTGGTATGCATACTCTAATGCCAGCGTTGTTACGGTGGCTGAAAAGCATTCCTGGCGGTCACCTAGTGCTTCAGCACAAAACAGGCTTTCTTTCTGTGCTCCGGAGGAATAATAAAAAATGCAGTATTTTTTTCCCCAACAGCCGTCTGGGAATCTCAGACCATCATTGCCTCAAAGCTTGAATGCTCACTGTGCTGTGAGCCATGAAGGTCTGTCTCAATTGAAATGCATAACTATTCTCCGATGACTAGCTGCCTTGGGAGGCTACAGGGTGACTGAGGATGCCTCCTAGCATTACAGCCCATTAAGCCTGGTGCTTGTAATCTATAATAGCTTTCATAGGAGGCGGCTACAGTTTCATCTCACAGTAGAAGCCCATTCGGCCCCATTGTGGTGTCTTATTTGGTCTATTTGGTTGCTTGTAATTGAATTTCTTGATGTCCCTTCTAAAGAAACTCAGTAGTGTCGAGGGACAGCGGGGAAGTAGCAAGGCCTTGCCTGAGGTTGTGTTCATGGTGCAAAACCTATCAAGAAATATGATACAAATGACTCAAGCCTCAACAGCTTTTGTATCACAATGGCTACAATGCCAAGCCATTGGTGGGATGCTGTTAGAGCTACATTAAAATGGCTCAGGCTATATTTTTAGCCATGGATACAATGTTGGTATGTAAGATCATCTGTCAGTCAAATAGTCAGTTGGTCAGTGTGCCACTTTGGGTCAGACTGAAATAGCTTGACAACTTTTGGATGGATTGCCATGAAAACTTGTTGTTGTTAGTCATGGTCTCATGGGGAAGGATCCTGACTCTTCGTAATCCCCTGACATTTCCTATAGCGCCACCATAAGGTTGGCATTTTTGTTTGCTTTGTCAATAAACTGTCAGAAAATATTGAAAAAATCCCATTAGTTTCATAGAGCACCAGGGAACATCTTTAAATTGCTCGATTTGTCCAACCAACAGACCAAAACTTGGGATTATTCAATTTGTAATGATATATCACAGTGAAAAGCAGAAAATTGTCGCCACTGATAAACGTTCTGTCAAACGGATAACTAATTAAAACATCTCTTCTCACAGCAGACGTGTTGACTTGTCATTGGGAAAGCACAGGTGTTTCTTTTAATAACATTAATCATAGCTAATCATGGCAGTGCTATTCGAGGGCCACAGTAAGCCATCACAGTGTGGCAGTGGGCCAGTAAACACAATACCAGGACCCATCAACACAAGCAGCTATATTCAGCCATCATTAATTGTATTATTTACACCTGTGTTTTTCCTATTGTGACATTTCAAAAGAGCTTCTGTTTAAAGTGTTTATTTACATGGAGTAAATAGCCATGAAAGTTAAGTCAAAACCATTATTACTTAAATGTAGTTATTGTGTTTAGACATTTTAATACATTTCCTACAGTACAGACAATACATCCCAGTTTTTGGCAGATTATCCCTTTTGTTTACAGTTGGATTCCGTATTTGGCCTTTAATACATTCACTTATGAATGTTCACAAATCAAGGAAAAAAGGTAATGCATATCACTTGTCTAGATGTGTTTCAACCACATCTCCTCCATCATGTTCAATACGATTACAGTTTGTGTAACACTAACAAAACACACATTTCAGAAATAATCTCACCATCTGCGACCTGGGCAGTAACTGCTGACAGACTATTACCCTTTAAATACACACAGGTCCACACTGACAATCACTTATCGCAGGCAAGCCGTAAGAGTTATTTCAGAAACAATTAAGATTCAAGATTAGATTTTACAATGGTCGGTTTCTAGCCCCTCTTACATTTATGATAACATCGCTGTTATCGCCTTCTTTGAAAGAGTCTGACAACATGTAGGTGTAATTCATAGATAAAGTTAAGAATATCGAGCTTAGTAGACATTTACCTTTCCCTGAGCTCTTGGTATTGGCAACCAAAGCTCCGACATGGAGTTTTGATACAATGGTGGACTAATCCTTAATTAGTTCATTTCTGTCCTGTGTTGCTTCTGCTGAATTTAAATTAACAGAATAAAGCAGGCCTCTACAATAAATCATCAGAGCCCTCATTATGGACTCAATTCATGTCTGAAACATTTAAATACCGTTTATATTCAGAAAATACCTTATTTCCATTTTCAGACACAGCAAATCAAATATTCTAAGTTTCTCTTTTCGTCATTTTCCCACAAGTTAGTTTCCATTTTTCTTACTGATTACATTCTCCTTGCTACCATAAAGACTTGTTTTTCTGAAAACCTTCCAAAAACCCAGAAGGTTGTTTGACAATGCTGTTGTTTAAAGTATATCCAAAATCCTCAAATCTTATTCTATTCATCTGGATCTACAACTAAACAGCCAAATGACTTTGTAACTTTATCCATATTTGCATATTTTTGTACATTCATCCTAAAGAAAAGCCGCTGTTTAAATGTCCTCCTGAATCCACACCCACATACTCTTCTATATCACTGCAGTAGGGGTTTGATGTGTATTATTACAATGAAAACAGATTTGTTTCCAATAATCAAATTGTCTGTTTTGTTGTTTGTTTTGTACAAAATGAGCAGGTAAATGTCTGACTTACGACTAAGGTCTTTTATTTAGTTATAATGAACATGATTGAGATTCCAATTACAGTGGACATGATGACAAATGACAATGTGATAGGAGTCTTTCATAGCAATACACCTGCAGAGAATGATCAGCTGAATCTGTAGCTGCTTTAGCTAAACAACATTTTAAAAATGGCTCTACTCTCCAGTCTTCCCTTTCAACGCTCTCATGGTGCTGTTTTAGATACAGGAATCTGTTTTCAGCAATAAAAAAGCACTGAAATGTCTTGCTCACCTGTTTTAACAGCTCATTAAATGGCAATGGCTGTTATCCCTCTTGTGATGGTTCAGACTGATCAATGGCTAAATGGCGTCTTTGCATATAATGTCAAACAGTCACAAATGTAAAACGTTTTTAAAATTGTGAATTAAAACAAAAACCCAGGTTGTTACTTTTATAAGAAGATGAATGATTGATCGCATTTAGAAACGTGTTTATGTCTAGGTAAATATGTTTGTTGGTTGAGTGACGTGAGTTTATCTTTTTTTAAATACTTACTGTACGTACCTCACTTGCAACAAGTCAGCGTCACTAATTGTAATCCTTTGCTCCTGACGTAAACACTAAGCAAACTTTAGGTCTCTGCCTAACAATTTTGCACCTCCCTGCTGTTATCTTGCTTACCAAGAAATAACAGCATACAGTACTGAGCCAATTGGTTGTGTAAGGCCATCAAATCTGACCCCCAATAACATCTGATCACCATCATTTAATCGGCAGATAACATGCAAAGTTAGGGACCTGTTCAGTATCAGGAAAGACATTGTTAGTGACTAGATGGTTAACAAAGTGGATTATTTAGCAGCTTAAGAGAATTATATACTTCCTCAGCAGTTAGTGAAGATTGTAAAATGAATTGCTGGTGTTGTAATTCAATAAGTTCTAACGAAAAGTTTTAATAACTGCAGACAAAATATAGTTTGATAAAGGAAAAGTTGTTAAAAGACCTACTTTTGTTTTTAAAAGATGTATCTTTTTTAGAAGAATCTTCACTTTGTGACTTGAATATAATAAGACAGGTAATGTCACATTTCAGGCAAAAGCATGTTGGTGTAGTTTACATTTTGTAAGCTATTTTCTTATTGTCTTAGTCTTCTTTTACACTACCATTTAGTTCAAAATAGAATTGTCACATATTCCATATTAATCTAGTCCCACGTGTTTGACGTCAGTGTTGTCTTGTCATCATATAGCCTTTAGTCCTGGGGGAAAAAGGTTATTTAAGACCATACTAAGTCATAGTTCATTAATGACATAATCCCAGGTTAAGAGGTACCTACCGATGGGTAATACCAGGAAAAAAGGAAGCCAGCACAGAATGAAACACCCGACAACGATGCCAAGAGTCTTGGCTGCCTTCTCTTCTCTTGAGAACCTAAGCATCTTCGGCAGGGAAAAGGTGGTGCGTTTGCGTGCCACGGTCCCTTTGTTTTCCTCTTGCTTCTCAGTCTGAGCAGCATTCCCTCTGTGAATCCTCAGCGTCACCCCTTCTGCCTCAACCCCTTCTCCAGTACCGCTCTTCCGGAGGGTTGCGTTCTTTCTCTTTGCCACAGTGTACACACGGCAGTACATGGCCAGGATGATGGCCAGAGGGATGTAGAAAGATCCTAGCGCCGAGAACAAAGCATAGACGGGTTCCTCCGTGATCCGGCACACTGTCTCGTCTTCTGGCTCCGGTTCCTTCCAGCCAAACAGAGGGCCCACAGATATAGCCGCAGAGAGAACCCAGAGAGCAGCCACCGCCGTCAGGCCTCGCCGACCCGTAGCGATGGCAGGGTAGCGCAGAGGATAGCTAACTGCCAGGTAGCGGTCGATGGAGATCACACAGAGGCTGAGGATGGAGGCGGTGCAGCAGAGGACGTCCAGAGCGGCCCAGACGCTGCAGAAGAAGCGGCCAAACACCCATCTTCCAAGAGCCTCCGAGGTGGCAGAGAAGGGCATCACAGCCGAGCTCAGCAGCAGGTCTGCGGCGGCCAGATTGGCAATAAAGTAGTGCGTCACAGAGCGCCAGTGGTGGTGGAACAACACCGATAGGATGACAAGGATGTTGCCAAGGACCCCAAACACGATAAACACCAACAGAACCATCCCCAGAACCACCATCTTGGCTACTTCCACTTCATGTTGGGAGGATGAGCTGCAGTTGGGACATCGATCTGCTGCAGGAAAAACACTCGAGTTCTCAGCGGAATCCATTGTAAACTGTTGGGTGCATCACGTTTCTAAATGCCTTGAAGAGTGATAACACTCATGACACATCTGTTACTCGAATTAGTACAGCTACATCCCTTTTTCTGCTCCTCCTGATGCAGAGGATGAAAGCCTCCCTGCCGCATAACCTGCTCTTCCAGTTCATAAGTAAATGAGGTGACACTTGACAACGATCCACCAATCACATGGCCTCTGCCAGAGTTCCTTGGCAGAAAGTCAGAGAGAGGAACACTGCCATGGGTTGTCTAATTGTGTCCAGAATTAAAGAACAGCCTAATGGAAATGACAAATATTCAATTTCTCAGAGGCGGCCACTGATGGATTTGGAATGTCATGTTCTGCCATGCTGAAAGGCTTTCTTGAAGCAAACCTTTTAGAAACAAGAAAAGAGATAACAAATAAGTATAGTTAACAAAACATTATAGTTACCCAAGGATTATTTTAATACCCACAACAGGCTCATCACCCTTTTAAGAGCTGATATTTATTCATCAGTGCGGGAACTAATCAAAACTTCACACATAGAATGTAAGACATTAAAGGTAAATGGAAAAAAAGTAATTATACAGCACTCGGATATGATTAAAAAGTAAAAATATCCTTTAATAGTCTCTTTTCAGAGGAAACAGTCCATCTATTCTTCCCTCGTTGCATTAGAGAAAATGTAGTATTCTGCTTGAATAAACTAAGTGGCAGTCACAATTTCCTTTTCAGGCATATCGATTATCTATTTAATAGAGCTGGTGAGCAGTGGGGTAGGGCGGGTATTATAATAGAAAATATAAAAAAAGGAGACATAATCAAAAACAACAACAGGGCATAAAGACAAGGACACCACAGCGGCAATTACGATCCACGGGGGAATAAAGAAAATCATCCGTGGCATTATAAGAGAACCAGCCAGCCATGCGGGTAATACAAAAATAAAATGTTTTAAGAGCAGACGTTCAGACGGGGCCTGAGATGGCTTCATTGAAGGTCTTGTGACTGCAAGCCGGGCTCTTACTCAACGATGGATGACAGGCCAGGAATTGAACCTTGAGGTGGGCTCTATATTACCGAGGGGAAGGCTCTGGCCTGCTGATAGTCCCACTCAATGGCACTCTCCATGTACGTGTTGGAGAGCTGGGATGTCACTGACTGAGATAAACAGCAGCTAGAGGAAGAAGAATGTAGAAGAAGCTGCGATAAAGCTCGTCACGTGTTTGTGCAAGATCAAAGGCTTCATCCCACCATGAGGCGGAACGAAAATCCATCCAAACAAACACTTAATGCCGGGATTTCCAGCATCAGTAGCCTGAGGGGAAATGGAATTCAAACAGGCGCTGAATGCATATCTCAGATTGTTTCTGCAGGATGGCTAAATGTATGTGATACTCGGATGGCCTTTTCGAATGTAATGAGATTTCATGGTGCGGTGAAGTGCCGGTGTAAAACGGAAAACCCCCATTGAAAACACAGCCCCGCTGTTTTTGTGGGCTATTGTGACAAGAGAAATAAGTCTTTCATATGTTCGAACCAACACATTAAGTTTTACTGTAGTTTCATGTGCTGTGTTGGCTCCTGCTTTAAGGAATACCGCCAAATCAATCATTGTTGTATGAATTACTCACCTCGTGTCATCTTGAAATCGTGAATGAAACTTTTTTTTTTCTTTCTGGTAATGGTCCAATTTTGAAAGATTTAGAACCTTTTAGATGCATTGAAATAGGGGCCATGTTAAACAACTTCTACACTATATCATTTTCCGAACTTCATAAAATGCGTGTGTTCGGAAATAAATGAATGAATGAATAAAAACAAATGATACTTGGATTATACTAAAGATTTTGATGTTAGGTTTTTTTTAGTTTTCTTGAAGAATTGAAGGCAACACAGGACAAGTCAATAACAAGTAAATTGTCATTTTGTTGGAAAAGTATCCCTTTAATCTTTTTAAAAAGTAAAAACTCCTATATGTATTTGCGCTTCCTGCTTTATTCCTGCATGTAATAGTATTAGTATTGGAGTAGCAGGGTGATGGCAGCGCTGTGACAGAATGATGAAGTGGTGTGGGGTGTGTTAAATGATCTTTGCATTCTGCGGCATTATTGACTGCCTTCACAGCCGCCTTGCATCAGTTTTCTGGCTTCTTTACGTATCATTTCCTTCCTCCAGGACAGGAGGCTTATCAGAGAAAATGCAATTATTTTTGAACCATTTATGTTTTTCACAAAAGGACAGTGGCAGACACAGAAAATACGCCTGTGCATTTATCCACATACTCTATGTAGCTGCAGATAAAAAAGGTTCACGTAATAGCTTCTGTGTGTCACGACACAGACCTACACATGTAGAGTTAATCTATACAAAAAATCCCATTTATGTGTTAATCTGTGTTCTTTGGGAGAGGATCAAATAGTCAATATGTCCGATCAATAAGTCTCTTAAGAGCATTCATGGTTGATGGATTCAAGTCATTAATCAACCATAACATACAGTATATATTATTTGCTCATACCTTCTGCCAAAAATCTGACGATGTGCTGCTTTTCACTTTATTTACAATTGTGTCTTCAATATCTTTGGGTTTTGGATTGTTTTTATGGAACAAAGCAAGTTTACTTTGCTCTCTGAAAAAGAATGGAGAGCTTTTTATAGAGAAACCATCACTTTTGACATCCCTAAGTGCATTTCCTTACCGTCAGACTGCATACATCTCTCATTCCCTGCGCATAATATTTGATCAAAAGCTTTCAGCGGACTTCATTACACTCCAATTTACATCTGGAACCCAAAGGTGCACCGCTCATTGAATTGCATTAGTGGGATCTCGTGGAAAGATGGTTGCTCTGCCCTTGAAGAAACTTTAGTGCTAGAGCCTCCTCAGCCTCAGAGTGGCCATTAAACAATTTAGACAAGACTAAATCTTATATTGGAATCCCAATTAGGATTTTGTTTTACGGGACAGAATATTAGCGGGCATAATATATAGCTTAATGTAGCATAAGCGTGGGCATATTTAATCAGAACAGCAGTTCACAGAGAGAGGACAGTGTTACCATCACAAGGGCAATGTGCACAATAATGAGCATAAAGCTTCCTGACAGTTCGTCTATGCAGCAGCTCCTGTTCTTTTTGCAGCATGTGTGTCTGCCATAATGCTGAATTTTCTCTGCATTGTGTTGCACAAAGGCCTATACATTCATTATATTTAATAATCACATCATTATGGCTGTAGAAAGACAGAATAAAGGCTTCAGTGCTTCCTCCGACGCATCTCATGTATTACTGGCTTCGGGCTTGGAAATTACAATTATTCTCATTATTGATTCATGTACCCATTACATGAAAACTGTATTGATTTATGGGTTGGCTAAATACTATGAAAGTCATTAAAAGGTGTTAAATCAAATATAAAGATAAATGTGCATGTCATATTTAACAGATTCTTCCTTAATCATTGGGCAATTATACATATTCAATCACAGTCATTCCTATATTTCATCACGAGAATCATTATGTTGATTCTGTCCTTGTTTTTTTTGTTTTTTTTAGGTTTTATGTCACTTTTTATTAGTGTTGTAAACCACTACTGTGTTGTTTTTGCAAATAGGAGAAAAAAAAGCCAGAAAAAAGTGAGAAATAGTCATCACCATTTCCTAGATTCCAAATATACTTCTTCAAATTGTGAATTTTGTTTAATCAGTTTTAAAAAACTCCTATAGATTCATGAGAAATGTAAAACTGAGAAAAGCAGCACATCGCCACAGCTGGAAGCAGAACATGTTGTAAGAAGGCGTGTGGTGCAGTGGTGTTCAGATCAGGTGGTCACAGGTTCAAACCCCACTGCAGTCAGCATGTCGTTGTGTCCCTAGGCAAGACACTTCACCCCAAATTGCTCCTGTGGGGATTGCCCACAGTATTGAGTATGAAAGTCGCTTTGGATAAAAGCGTCATGTAGTGACATGTAATGTAATGTAAGAATTCCTAAAATCCCGTAATTACTTCTCCACATCCCCACTATTGAGTTGAATTTCTGTATTTGATATTCATCTAGCATAACTATCTTCAGGTCACATTGAACACATGTAATAAAAAATCCTACACACAGTTCTCCTTAGTATAAAGTGTATTGTGTTGCCACTGCAGAGTTCATATATCATTAGTTTGCACAAACACTGTTGCCAGGTCTGTAGCACTTCCATGATGAATGGCTTTTCATTGGAAGTGTATCTCTAAAAAGCTGTACTCTCCAGGGGAGGGAATTCAAAAGCTGCATGACATTAATCATTATGTTTTATTAACCTTGAGCTCTTGCACACAAGAGAGGACAGTTAAAGTGTCTCAAGCTTCCGTCCATCTGAGGACGTTGTGTTGTTAGTGTTTATCCCCACATGGCAGTTATATATCTGACAGGATGATAATAAATGTTCCTATGCTGCGAGCCTCTGCAGCTTCAGTCATTTATCATTTTAAAATATTAATAAAACATGTTTATTTACGTCCCATAAACCAAGTTTTTAGATAAAGATGGCCTACCTGTTGAGGGGAGATTCTCAAAATAATGTATCCTAATAAGTCTGCAGAGGCAAAAAGCCTTTTGTTTTTGCAATATCATTAAAATAATATATTGCTTTTTGCTTGTTTGAATACTTAAGAATATGCAAGGATTAAGCAATGTCTAAATGTTAGGCTGCATGAATTAGCATCACTACCTGATGTTAGAAATAAAGCAATTTTGCCAATCAGTGGCCTATTAAAAAAAACACATCCCCCACCTGATTAAAAATACTCATAACTATCCACTCTGGAAATAGTAAATCACTCAGCCAGGGAAGTAGCCTGATGTGGGATTAGGGGTGAGGAAGAAAAAAAAGTCTTACCTTGTCCAGAGCGCACACACCTCACTGCAGCGAGTTTAAAAAAAGGGGAGACGGTGAGCTAATTTTCTCTGAAAGCAGTCATGCGTTATTGAGTGTGTCCTCCATGGGCAGCTCGGAGACCACAGAGCTCCAGAGCCTCCTTGCCTGCCGTCCTCCTGACTCCTCTGGCGGGAGAGAAAGTCACACTGGACCCCCCCCCCCCCCGACATGGTCCTCACAGGCCCCGCCCCCTGCCACAACAGCTCGTGCCTCTTCAATTTAACGGCTTTCCTCACAGCCATTACGTGAGTGACCCCGTAACTAACAAAGC